AGGTATAGAAGGCTAGTGGGAAAACTAAATTATCTAACTATCACTAGGCCTAGTATCTCATTTGCTATCAGTATGGTAAGTCAGTTTATGCAGAGTCCTTGGGTACCTCACTGGGATGTAGTTCTTAGGATTGTGTGGTATTTGAAAGGGGCTCCAAGTCGTGGGTTACTGTATAAGCCAAGGGGTAATCTTGAAATAGTTGGATACACTGACGCAGACTGGGTTGGATTTGTATCAGACAGAAGATCCACCACAGTTTATTGCACCTTTCTCGGAGGAAATCTTGTGACTTGGAAGAGCAAGAAGCAGACGGTGGTAGTAAGAAGCAGTGCAGAAGCAGAATACAGGGCCATGGCACACACTACATGTGAACTAGTGTGGTTGAAGAATCTATTGCAGGAAATCGGGTTCTCAGTAAGCAAAACCATGAAGCTATATTGTGACAATCAGGCTGCAATTCAAATCTCATCCAACCCAGTTTTCCATGAGAGAACTAAATACATAGAGGTAGATTGTCACTTTGTAAGGGAAAAGGTTATCAATGGTGTGATAAAGATAGAGCATGTGAGAACAAGTGATCAATGGGTAGAGATATGTTCACAAAAGAGTTGAGTTCAGGGAGTGTTAGAGTTAGTTAGAGAAGGGTATTTTAGTCTTTTCCCTTTATGTATTGTGTTGGTTGTATGTCTCCTCACATGCAGGGGCATTTCAGTCTTTTGTATCTTATTTTTTCAAATGCTAAGTATATGGTCAACTAGGTTAGACGAAGAGACTAACTAGTTCGACACTTTCTCCTCCTCCTCCTCCTCCTCCTCCTCCTCCTTTCTCTCTCTTCTCTTCTCTGTTCGGCTGAACACTTTTAGTATCTTTCAGTTGAGCCATCTGCATTGTACTTCTTAGTAAATATCCATCTGCACCCAACTAGTTTCTTCCCTCTTGGTTGATCTACTAGCTCCCAAGTATCATTTTTGATAAGTGCACCCATCTCTACCTTCCTTACTCCTTTCCATGGGTACAGCAGCAATGGACACCAAAAAGGACTTGTATGATGGTGAGAGGTGGTCATAAGAAAGAAATTGAGAGATGCAATGGGCACTTGATGAGGTGCAACGACGTTTCCCTTTGTGTACTGCAATAAGAAGGCCAAGATCATCTATGGGTGGTTAAGGTTCAATGGTGGTGGTAAGCATATCTTCTATAGCAGTTGTGGGTACAAAGGATGTAATACCTAAATTTGGAGCCTCAGAAGTGACTGGAAGTGGCTTGGACTGCTCATCATTGGAACCAACTTGTTTCCACCATCGTATGTGAAACACCCTCAACTCTTTGCACTTCTGACAGCCCCCCTCACTACTCTCCCCCTCAGTGACAGGAATAGGCAAAGGCACTTCTTGAGCAAAAACACCCTACTCACCACTCCCCCTGAGAAGAAATCCTAGAACAATAAGGGACATCTTCAAAGAAAGTAACATCCATAGACACAAATTGAGTCCTAGTGACAGAATCATAACAACAATACCCCTTTTGATTTTGTGCATACCCAAAAAAATACACTTGGCTGCCTTAGGATGAAATTTGGAACTGTGAAGTCCAAGGATTTGAACAAAACAAGTGCATCCAAAGGTCTTAAGGGGAATGGTGAATTGGTCCTTATCGGGGTACAATAGGTTAAAAGGAGCTTTCATGTCTAAAACCCATGAAGGAACTCTGTTAATAAGATTAAGAGTAGTTTGGATGGCATCCCCCGAAAAATGAATAGAAACATTAGAATTCAGCACGATGCTCTCAGTTACTCCATTCTGCTAGGGTGTATGAAGACAAGAACTCTGATGAATAACCCCATACTCAAGGAAATATGAGGCCAAGGGTTTTGCAAAATACTCCCTGACATTATCAGATCTAAGATTTTTTATTCTGATTCCAAATTGGGTCAGAACCATATGGTGGAATGCATGGATCAAAATGGGTATCTAATATCGAGAACACATAAGAGAAACCCAAGAAAAATGAGAGTAATCATCCACAAATAGAAGGAAATATCTATACCCACCCATTGCAATAATGTGATATGGTCCCCAAACATCGGTATGCGTAAATTCAAAAGAAACAATGCTTTTATTACTCAAGGAATAAGTTGATCTACAATGCTTTGCAAGTTCACAACTCTCACACCTCAAACTAGACACGTGGACAAACTCAAACAAAGTAGGAAAAAGACTCTTTAAAGACCCAAAAGACAAATGACCCAACTGATTATGCCAAAGCATAATCTGACTCACAAACTGAGACACAAAAGGCTTTCCAACCTCTTTCCTCTTCCTAGGTGGATGCTCAAGCAAGTAAATTCCATTCTCCTCATGGCCAGTCCCAATCACCTTCCTTATCGCCAAATCCTAAAAGACACAATGATTAGGGAAGAAGGTTACTGAGCAATTCTGGTTTTTAGTAATGCTACTCACTGAAATCAAGTTAGTGCTAAGTTTGGGGACATGAAGGGCAAAAGACAGATGGAATCAGACACTCTGATATCTCCCTTTCTAGAAATAGGTACAAGGGAGTCATCAGCACTAGAAACCTTGTCTCTACCTGAAAATAACGAGTAGGAAGAAAATACAGAAGATAAACTAGTCATGTTGTTAGAAGTTCCCGAATCAATAATCCACAGGGGGGTAGAGTTACCTAGGGCTGAAGCATGATAGGCAGTAGCTCTTGTACCTAAGTGAGCAAAAGCTAAGGTGGGAGTAGTAGTAGTAGCTGATTCAAATGACTCGGCTGATCCTAAGGCTCCAACTTCACACTCTAATTGAGTTAAGGCAGCTTTGACTACAACTAAGGCATCTAGGGATGTAGATTTTGTAGTAGAGGAAGATGCACCATCAGAAGTAACAACTGCATTGGCACTACCCTTCTTATTCCTAAGTTTTGCTAGGATAAGATGGGGATACAGCTTCCAACAGGTGTCCCTAGTGTGCTTTGGCTTCTTACAATAATCACAAACCATCCCCCTCGTCTTCCCTCTTTATTTCTTTCTCCTTATTACCAATAGGCTACGGTTTCACTATGTACTAGTGAATAGGCCTGAGACAAAGTGACACCATCCCTAGTAAGTAACTGCTGCCTCACAATGTCATATTCTGAATCCAGTCCAATAAGGAATTAAAACACTCTATTTGTTTCAACAAGCTTCCTATATGTTGTTGCATCCTTTTGGCTTTCCCATTCAATGGTCTCCAAGTGATCAATCTCATGCCACAGAGATTTCAGAGTGGAGAAATATACAAATACAGGTTTCTCCCCCTGTTTAAGGTTATTCACCTCATTTTTCAACTCATAGGCCCTAGCAACATTCAGGGGTTGTGAGTAGGTTTCCTTCATATTCTTCCAAATTTCCTTAGCAATTTTCACCCATAAGTAATTTCTACTGATGTGAGGCTGCATAGAGTTGCACAGCCAAGTCACCACTAGATAGTTTTGTGTCTCCAGTTACATATCCCAGTTTCCCCTTCCTCCTATGGCCATCATGGCCGATTGGGCCCATTCTATGTAATTTGTCCCATCAAACTTAACAGTAGTGATCTGAAAAGTGTTGTCTGACATGCTTCCAGACCCCATAGATACTTCCCCAAATGATTTTGGTTCCTTCCCAACTGCCTCCATGCTAACCACACCACCAAGATTCACAGATATTCAAAAAGAGGCTGAAAAAGAGTCTGTATAGCAGTTCAGCCCAACAAAAAACAGTTTTGGAATGCCTAGAACCCTAGAGCTGATCTGTTCTCAGTAGGTTATATCAATCCAGCACAAAGAAACAGTTCTGAAATACCCAGAACCCTAAACCAGATATGTTTTCAGTAAGGTCTGCCCCTACCTCTAGAGATTGTCAAGGGAAAATTTCTGCAGCACTTAAAAAACTGATATTTTTCATAACAAGATCCTAGAGATAATCAAGAAAGTTAAGCCGCACCTTCTTTTTCATTAAAAACTGGAACCAGCCCTAGAAATAACCAAAGAAAAAACAACCACCTTCCAGGAGAGCCCAATCTCCTTCTTCTAGCTGCTGATCTCAAAAAAGAATAATTTCCAGATCTTGGGCAGCACAAACTCCTCCAACAAACCTCTAAGAATCAGGTAAATCTGACTGAAAAATCCAGCCCTAGTCTATCTTCATGTAGCCAGCTGGAACAAGACTACATGAGAACCCTAGCAGGCCTTACACCTTGCTCTGATACCAAGAAGGCTGATGATGTTGATCACCTTCGCCCTGTACTCAGGTTCAACTTTCTGCAAGAAAACACAGAAAGAAAGGGAAAAAACAGAAGAGAGGAGAGGAAGAGAAGAAGATTGAAAAGAAGGGAGCAGTTCTCTCTATTCTGCCACCCAGATTTTATATTTATATGTTTCTATCATAAAGTAAATTACAAAGACTGCTATACCCCTGCTGACTAAGACACTACTTAACAGAATATAATAGTAACTAATGTAGGGCCAACTAACAGGCCCATGACAAGGTCCAAACAGATAAAATAAAAAAATACCTAGTATACTGTTTCTCTACAGTATTCTATTTGTAGAATATTCAAGTGTACACCAGTTAAATCTCCTAAATGCTTTTAAAATGAAGGACCTAGGACCATTGATTTATTTTCTTAGATTAAAGGTACATAGTTCACTTCATACATATAGAAATACACCTTAATATTGTCAAGCTTGCTCACCTTAGGTGAGAAGCACTTTGATACTCCCATGGACCATTGGTTTATGTATACGGTATACCTCATCTTATAAATATAGAAATATGCTTACATCAAGGTCCCAAAAGGCTACTGATAAAACTACTTGCATATGAAATCTAGGACGTCATAAAGTGCTAACAATTTGAATATTATACCCTTGAATGGTAGTGCAAATAAAAATAATGCTAGAGAAATAATAAGGTACAATAGCATAATTAAGTGTAATCTAAAATGTAACAAGGACATGAATCATATTAGTTCACTGACCAGTAGTAGGTGGTTTAAGTTCTCCACCAGCTGAATATTTACCCATGACCCCACCACACCTATTAATGAACAAAAGATTGATGAGATTGACAAGTAAGAGTACTTACCATCAAACTATCTATTACTTGAATCCATTATTAGAGAATCACAAAGGAAGAGAAAGAAAAAAATATAAGAAATGAAAAAGTTAATAGCCAAAAGAATTTCTTGTTGAGCACATATTTCTAACTTTAACTAGTTAAGTATAATTTAAAATCTTAGCAATACTTTGAAAAGGGGTTTGTTCACGTTCTTGAGTTTCAAAAGTAGCTCTTGTATCTGCAGGCATGAGGACACTACGAGTTGTATGGAATTTGAAGTATAGCATAAGGTTGTGATTTTCAATTTATGCTATATCCACCTCATCATTGTTTTGTTTCCCCTTTCCATGTTTCTCTTATCCTTTTATTCTATGTACTTATTATTCAAAATAATGATTTAATTATTAACAGAAAATGGATTGTTTGAAGTCATACTGTAAATTAAATATTAACAATCAAAAAAAAATGTAGACTAAACATTGCAATTCACTCATTACATACCAACAACAAACAAACAAAAGGAAAACAAAGAGTAGTAAACATGGTTGGAATCTGAAAATAAAGAACTTGGATTAATTCATGATGGAAGACCTGCTCATCAACAAACAAAGTCATGATGGAAGACCCAAAGGCGTTGCTTATGCAATAAGGGATACTGATTAAAAGTATGAAAGTCAAGAAAATTCACATACAGAATTTGGTACACCGTACACCATTGGTGTTATACAGAGCCCTGATTATACCGATTCACTCTCTTAGTCTAGCTCAATGAATGAAGTCCAGATGTTTCCTTGATTCCTTTATCTATCCCAATGGAATCTAGATATGTTTCACAAGACTCCTTTACAGCTCAAGAAACCACCAATTGAGAGAATATACACCCATGGCAAGATTACAGGCCAAGTTATAACTTCTCCAGCTTGAGGGTAGTGTTAGAAACATAAGTGTGTACAATAGTGGCAGAGTAGTTCTGTCCATCTACCCTAAAAGGGCATTATGGTCTTTTGATATGTTAGTACCTACTATAAATAAGAACTGGACACATGTGGGGATAAGATTTTTGGACCCACCATTCTCTCTTCTCTTTCCTTTCCTCTTCTGTTCTACACTCTTTTTACCTTTGTTAAAGCTGACTACAGGTTAGATTACACATATGCTGCTGACCCTAGCCATAAAGGCTCTTTAAAGGTTTAAATTTCTGAGAAAAAACCAATCAAAAGAAAATTGATGTGCATTCTCATACCAAGTTGCAATATGATACTGTAAACAAACAAGAAAAGAAGAGTAGAAAAGAGAGGAAAGGAAGGAGAGAAGATTGAGAAAGAAACCAAAACTGCTAGGGCTGGCTGACCGTTCAATTACTCATATGTGATTTAAACTATAACACTATCATGCACCTATTAAACTATCCCCGAAACAAACATATAAATAAAGTTAAGTGTTCTAACCAAAGATCAAGCATTCAAAATATTCTAAAGGTGAAATATTTAACAAGCATTACAGTCCTACAAGCAGTGTTTGATGACCTTTCAAGCAAAATACAGCCATACCACATTAAAATAAAAACAAATGGAGAAAAGGAGAAAGAAAAAAAGGTCCACTTACCAACGAAAATAATCACTTCTAATACCCAAAGGTGCAGCAAGCAATATATCAGCAATCCAGGGAGACAATGGCCGTGAAGGTTTTTTCTCTTGCTTTGACAGAGCTGAATGACAGGATTCCCCCTCTGTAGAGTTACTTGTTGTAGCATGACTGCCACTGCTGCTTCTATCAGCTTCATTATTCTGGTGTTCAGCCTTGTAAATTGGACGATTGTAGTGAGTTAATACCCGTAAAATTTCTCCACATGCCAGAGCCCATTGCTCAGAATATTCATTCTGTAAATTAAAATGTGTAAGATGTTATGCCTCTTTAGCGAACTCTATTTTTTACTCAGAAAGAACAAAGATTCAACAATAGAAGTGATAGGAATAAAATGCAAAGAATAATATCAAAGCTTGATAAGTACTGCAAAATTATATTTTTTGGTTGTTCCATACCTCACTGCTTGGGCAGACTAAACAAATGAAAGAACTAAATGGAGGACTGCTCTTATCATACACCAATGTACCATCAATTACGCATGATATAATTGGAAGAAGAACAGCATGCCCATGTTCTGGATGATGAAGGACAAACATTGCTGGAGATATAAGCAAATGTGACTGGTTAGTGTACTGCTTCAAACAATAATTGGAAAGTAAAATATTTAGGTACAATTATCTTCTGAAATAATATTCCAATACCCAATACTTCATCAAAAAGTCGCTTGTCTTTTGATGGATAGCGACTCCGGATAAGCTGTAACGGGAAAAAGGAAAAGGAAAAAATGATATAAGTAACAACTTATGCTACGAAAAATTTGCCAAATAACTTTTTTTTTTTACATATTCATTTTTGTAGTCATTATGATTAAGGTAATTGGTAAATTATTGAGTAGCTAAAGCTAAGTGAAAGATGGAAAAAAATTACAGCATACCTCACCAATATCATCAGGAAACCTTTCTGAAGTGAACTGACCAAAATATTCAACATAGGCATTTATCTGAGCCTAAATGAAAAGTACAAGTTTGTCAATAATAACAGAAACATGGATAATAAGGAGGAATTAGGAAAAAGTACTTAACTCTATACAAAATATTGGAAGCTTAGCAAATACTTAAAAAAAAATAAAAAGGATCATTTTCATCAAAGTAAAAGTGAGAAGAAAAGTCAACAATTGATGTCAATTCAAAGTTCTAATATGAGATTTCAATTGACAGTATGATAAAATTACAGGTTGTAGTGAAAATGGGCCGAATGGGCCTTGTGTTCTTTATTTCTTTTAAGTAGTATTTAAAAGTTATGTTTCCTAGTTATGGGCCTTCTTTTATTTTCTTTAATTATTTCTTTAGTGCTGGCTGCCCCATTAAGGGCATCCAAGTAATTGTACTCAGACTTAGAATTATTAATAAAAGTGATAAAAGGGGGCTAGAGAGAGAGGTTCAAATTCTTCTTTTCTCTCTTCCCTTCTTTTCTTCTTCCACAACCTATTGCTGAAACTTCTTTCTTCTTCTTTCCCTTTCTCTCTTTTCTTCTTTTTTTGCATTATCTGAATTACTGTAAGTGTAATTTTCAACTTGGTATCAAAGTAGGTTCTCACTTTCGACTTTTTTCTCCTTTCTTTACCCATACATAGTGTGTATGGAGAACTGATCGGTTGATCAATCAACTACTTATGCAACCGAGTTGGGAAGGGTTTTGGAGAGTTTTGTGGAGGTTTTTCATCCTTAGTTGAAGCCCAGGGCAGGTTCTTGGAGATTTTTCCCGAAAACCCTAGATAACTGGAGGAACCTTGTTATAGGTCGTAGAGACAATTTGAACTAGGTGCTTTGGGATCAGAGGTAAGCCTTTTGATTTCTATTAGGGGCGGTTTGGTTGGATTGAATTCTGGAATCTCTGGAAGGTGCGGTTGAGTTTCTCCCTTTTTCACATCCCGCAAGACCCTATGAAACCCTAATTTTGGGGGGTTGAAAGGTTGTTCTTTACTTAGAACAGTAAATCTAGCCTAGTAAAGCCCTAATTTGATTTTCGTTTGCATCCATTTGCTCAATGGAGCAAACTGGAGGAGAGACCAAATATTCCATAGATTCTGGGTTTGGACATCGGGGGGTCAGTGGAGAATCTCTTTGGGGCTGTGACTACTGTGAAGCTAGATGGGACCAATTATTTAGCTTGGTCTCAATATATTAAGATACATGTGCATAGTAGAGGAAAATTGGGTTATATTACCAAGAGCAAGAAGAAATTGGAGGAGGATGATCATACCTATGAAAGATGGATGCAGGAAAATTACACAGTAGTGGGTTGGTTAGTGAATTCTATGCAACCACACATTAGTTAACATTACTTGTGAATGGAACCTGCAAAAGAAGTGTGGGATAGTGTCACAGAGACCTATTCCCAAAAGCTTAATGTTGTTCTGGCTTACAAATTGAAGCATGATGTGAATAATCTTAGACAGGGGGAGAAGCCCTTAGCAGTCTACTTCTCTATGCTGAAATCTTTTTAGCAAGAGATTGATCTGATGGAGACTATTGTTTGGGGTTGCACAAAGGATGCAAAAACATATAGGAGGTTGGTGGTGAGAAATCGGGTCTTTGAGTTCCTCACCAGACTCAACTCAGAGTATGATATTGTGAGGCAGAATGTTTTAGCAAAGAATGAGGTGACTTTGTCTCAAGCATACGCTATGGTGAGCAGTGAGGAGAGCAGAAGACAGGTTCAGTCTGTTGAGCCGCAGGTTGATCACTATGCTAATGCTAGGATGAAGCCGAAGGTTAGCACTGGGAAGAAAAATGTTATCTGTGAATACTGCAAGAAGCCTAAACACACTAAAGACACATGTTGGAAGCTGTATCCAGGGCTCGTTTCTGCCAGATTCAATAAAAAAATGGTGGAAAAAGGGTTGAAAGTGGAAAAGGTGGAAATGCAAATGTAGCCACCTCTTCACAAGGTGAACAAGGACAAGGTGGAGAGAAGTTTGTGGGAGAACAACTTGCAGCTGCTAAGGCTGAATATGAGAAGTATGGCCGAATCATCAGTCACTTGGAGTCCACTGCTACAGCTCCTTCAGAGATTATTCCTTCCTCTTTATATGCTCACTCAAGCATTTGTGCCACTACACATCATGCTTCTATCTCAGGTACTCATAAAATCCCTTGGATAATTGGTTCTGATGCTTCTAACAATATGACCAGTGTTTTACAGTTATTCACTTCTTACCAACTTCTTTCTGGTCGAGATAAGATATCCCTTGTTGATGGCTTCCTAGCCCCTATCATGGGAAAGGGAGACATTAAGACCTTTAATGCCCTGACCTTATCATCTATTTTTCATGTACCTAAACTTAATACCAATTTCCTTTTAGTTAGTAATTTGACTAAATCCTTGAATTGCAGTGTAACCTTTTTTTTCCTTTATATTGTGTTTTTCAGGACATGGAATCTCAGAAAGTGATAGAGAGTGGCCATGAGGCGAATGGGATCTATCTGTTAGACATGCCTGAGTAGAGCCAAGTACAACCTAAGAGAACCGCATTTGTTTCAGAGTTCACTAGCCGTATTATGTTATGTCATAGTCGTTTGGGTCATTTGTCCTTTTCTTCATTGAGTCAGTTGCTTCCAGAGTTATTTAAAGGAATTAGTCTATCGAGTCTTCATTGTAAGTCTTGTGAGTTCTCAAAGCATTGTAAAAGCACTTATCCTTCAAGTAATAAAAGATCAACTATTCCTTTTAATATTGTTCACTCTGATGTGTGGGGGCCTTACCATTTACCATGCATGGGTGGATATAAATATTTCATCCTATTTTCTGATGATTTTTCACGATATACTTGGATTTACCTTATGCGCTCTCGAGCTGAAGTGCCTAAACTTATGCAACAGTTCCATGAACACATACTCACTCAGTGTAATACCTGCGTCAAAATATTCCAATCAAACAATGATAAGGAATATTTTGAGAAGGACCTTACCTCCTATCTTGAGAAGTTTGGGGTTATTCATTAGAGTTCTTGTGCCCGCACTCCACAACAAAATGGAGAAGAGATGAAAAACAGACACATTGTGGAAGTTCCAAGGAGCATTCTTTTTGCTACCCATGTTCTTGTGGAGTTTTAGGGCGATGCAGTTTTAACATCTACCTACCCTATTAACTGCATGCCTTCTTGAGTCTTGGGATTAAAATCTCTTTTTGGAGTCCTCTTTCATGATGTTGACATTTTCTCTATTCCTCTGAGGGTTTTTGGTTGCACTTGTTATGTCAACATTCCCAATTCCAAAAGACACAAGTTTGACCCCAAGGCTCAGAAGTGTATCTTCCTTGGTTATGCCTCCACACAAAAAGGGGAAGTGTAGTGAGAATGGGCCGAATGGGCCTTAGTGTTCTTTATTTCTTTTGAGCAGTATTTAAAAGTTGTTTCTTAGTTATGGGCCTTACGAGCCTTCTTTTATTTTCTTTAATTATTTATTTGGTGTTGGTCGCCCCATTAAGGGCATCCAAGTAACTGTACTCAAACTTAGAATTATTAATAAAAGTGATGAAATGGGGCTAGAGAGAGAGGTTCGAATTCTTCTTTTCTCTCTTCCCTTCTTTTCTTCTTCCACAACATATTGTTGAAACTTCTTTCTTCTTCTTTCTCTTTCTCTCTTTTCTTCTTTTCTTGCATTATCTGAATTACTGTAAGTGTAATTTTCAACTCAGGTATTTTACATGTTTGTAAGATACTTAAAGAATAGAGATCATTACATTAAAGACAAATTAGTATGGCTTCCTTGTAAAGATTCGCATAATCATATTGACCATACCGAAGTGTATTTTTGGATATCTTAGACCCAATTAGAAGTGGAAGGAGACTCCAAGCTGGTAATAGGGTGGATGCAAAATGGAAACCTGGGAGTGTGGTCTCTTAGACAGCCGCTAAGAGAGATTATTAGCTTAGAAAGGGAGATTGGGGTGCACTTTAATTGGGTAAGGTCAGCAAATGGAATGGCTGACACTTTAGCTAAGCAAGGAGTTACTAGGGAGGCTTTGTTTTGGGCCTGTTTGTAAGTTTTTTATTTTCTTTTTCCATCCTTTTTGTGGGTGGTAAGCCTGTAATCTTTTTAATTATCTAATGAAAGTTACCATTTCCTATCAAAAAAAATTATCTTAGACCCAATTAATATTATTTTGCACTATTACAAAGATGGACTAGTAAAGATATTCAACACCTTGAAGAAGAGTTTTAACTTCCACTTCTACGGAAGTCAAGGTATTAGAAAGATCAACATGATAAGAATCTCATTCATTTATTCAAATACTCAAACACTAAAATGTTGTAGCTGGTCTAGAACTAGGGCTGTCAATGGGTCATTTCTGCCTGACTGCCCAAACCAAACCGATTATGTCAATTCTGGTTCCATGATTTTGTCCCAATTAATAAATTGGTCGGTTCTGGTTCTTGCCTGTTCCAAAATGGTTATTCTATTAAATATACAGGTTTTCCTAATTTTCTCATAACTTGTATCATATTTTATATTTGAAATGATAAATTTGATAGATAATATTAGTTAAAAATGTTTAATTTATTTTTTTGATAAATGAAAAATGTTTAATTTATTAACATATAAATAATTTAGTATTTTACTATCATTTTTGTTAAGGTTATATTATCAAAATTTAAGTTTTAAGTTATTATTTAAATAAATAAATATAGTTTTCAGTATAATCGGGTCTATTGGATCAGACCCGATTATTAACCAAGATGGTTCTGGGTCTGTGATGTTGTTCCAATTAATAATCAGTTTGGGACTAGGATCACCCAGACCCGACCTGTTGACAGCCCTATCTAGAACTTACCACTACAGTTCCATGAAGATTGTATATAATTGAATACTATTGAACAACGGTTAAAAACAATCACAACAACCGATGGAACATTCAATTACTATTGAGAGGCACTCCAAAGAATTACCATCTGAATTTTAGGTGATGCCAAAATAAGCTTTCTGTTCAAGATGAGGACATGAA